TCCAGCAGGGCTGCCGGCCTGGCAGCGACGCTCGCGCGGCAAAGCAACTCGCGCTGCTGAGATCTTCGCGCTCGTCTTTCTGGAGGTGTTGATCTACCGGCTCAGGCATGCTACACTGCAAGGCTGGCGGCAAACGCCAGCTTAGGTGATCGCGTCGGTTCGACGGTGGCATTGAACTGTTGTTCGCGTTTCCAAGCGTGTTTTCGGCCAAGGCAACAGCGACCGCCTGGCACGCTGCCTCACATACGACTCTGACAGGGTGTCTGCCCGCTGCACGAACCTCCAACACTGCCCTGTGGCCAGGGGCCACCAGACAGAATTGTGGACGAGCTATTCTAGGGCGCTGCGGTCCGGCCCGGCCTCTCTATGCCAGGCAGATGCCAACAGCAAAGAACCGTGTTTCGCGGAATGCTGCAAGATGCTCAACTCTGGTCATACTTGCTCAAACAAACCTTCTGCGCGGGTGCGCTTGTGAGCTCTGACCCACGTGGTTCTTTTGGGCCACTCTCTGACGAACGCCGGATCGACGCTCAGCTCGCCCGAGATTAAGAGCCACTGGTTGAGGCGCTGCTAGCCCTTCCACCCACGCAGTAGCGCGCGAAGCCCGATCCTTAGCCACACTGGCAGCGCCCTTAGTTGCGCAGCCCCGCAGAAAGCCTGGGGCGAGATCTCTGGGCGGCCTCAGCAACACGCGTCATTTGGCGCACCTGCACCAGGACCAGGGCATGAAGGTTGAGACGATCGTCCCAACCAAGCCTGGAAGCCAAAGCAGAAGTGGGGGGCCTTCCATTTTTCAAAGTGGCCACAACCGCAAAAGACGCGCACGTGGCCGGGAACCTTCGGTGAGAGACAAAAGGGGCAGCAGATTTTCGCAAGCCGCAGCTCCAGTCATGATTCAAAGGCCCTGGCCGGCGCATTGGTAGGCAAGGGGCGCTCTCAGTCTCCTGCCAGTGGTGACAGCAGCGTTCTCCTTGCGTTGCGCGTGCATGGACAGGTGGAAGACTGAGCATAGGCATGCGCTTTCGCGGTCGTTAATGGAGCACGACGCTGTTGATGCATGGCCTCACCTGTATTTTCTTCTGGTTCTACTGATACGCTGCGCGCTTTCACACTGCCGTCGGTGCCATTGCCTTGTCTGCACCTGAGACGCGTGCATTGCAAGGTTGATTTTCAATGTCGATGGCAGGAGACGGCGGAAGCGGCGAAGACCGATATAGGACTGGCTTTGCTGCTAGGCTGGGGCGTGTCTGGTTTTCCTGGTTGGCTTTCCCTGGCGTGCAAAATCCTAATGGCAAGAAGCATTCACGGTCAGCTTCGTGGCGTGTGTATTATTAGGATGTTGCACGCCAGGAAAGCCAGAAGAAAAACCAGACGCGGCAGCATCATCCCCATCCCTTAGTCGTAACGCGTCTGCAAGAGACGCGCCCGCACCGCAGCCATGTGGCGGATCACCATCCCATCCTCGGCAAGGTAAGTGGCCATCCCAGTCGTTTCTGCAGCTCATCCCGTGGGATCGCAGGGCGATCCTCTGAGAAAGCGGGGCACTCCCAGCACGCATGGTTCCACGAGGGTACCACAGCATTTTTGCAATGCTCACAAGTGTCTCTTTGCGGCTGTTTAGTCATGACCTGAAACAAGCGTCACTAACAGCACCACCGGTCAAAACCGCACGGGCATGCACACATCCTTGTTTGTACGCATGTCTAGCAGCAGTTATGCGGCGCTCATCGTACTGCAAAATCGGCATGTTTCGCACTTCTCTTCTATTTGATCTGCTCCACTTGCGAAAGAGTTGCTGCCGCCAGCTTTCGCGCACTCGATGCATGGACTCATCAAGGGCTCGCAAGTTGGTCATGTCCAGTGTGCCACACTGCGGATGTTGCCATGTCCATGCTGCCACAACACGCCATCCGAGCCATCGCAGGTGCTGTGTTGCAACTTGCTGCCATGTGTGCCGCTTTGGGTGTGCAAACCACATGGGGCCAATCCCACGAGCAACAACTCGATACAAATCACAAATGCAAACATGCACAGCACGCATTTTTGCCTGCGTGAGATGGCCCAGGGCTAGCAGGGGACCGCCCAAAGGTGGCACGCTTGTTGACCGCCTGTTGCATGGTTACCCAGCATCCCCAACTAGCCTTAGGGAGGACAACGGTGGTCAGCACTTCCAGTTTCACAGGCGCAGAGACTGGCAAAAATGTGGTTCTCTGGATCATGCTGCTAGTATCGCGCACACGCCCAACTGCAGTTAGGCGCTCCGGCACTCGGCTGTAGTCAAAATCAACACCCAACATTCTGGCAGACTGCGAAAACCATGCCGCACATGCCTCATCAGCGCCACGCGCTAGCATGTCTTGCTTGGGTTTTTGCACCACAACACATATTTTATGCTGGTTTTCTACCAGCCCCAATGCCAGAGACCAACGTGACCATCTGTCGATCAACGTCATGGCATAATGCCCGCTCTGCGTCAGGAAGGAGCGATCATCAACGTATGTGATCATACTGATCTGATGACCATCCTGGGCCGCACGCCGTGCAATGTCAATGGTTGGCATGCTGAGCGCCGCAAGCAAAGCAATCACCGACAGAGCATCCCCCTGGGGGAGCGAATTGGTGATGTAAGATGGCATTTCTGCTACACATCCCCTGTATTGTATTTAATACCGGTATTGGTGTGCCCAAATATGAGAGCAAGCAAGCAGCATGGGCTGGGGCATGCCCAGTTTTTCCAGGCATCTTGTGGCAAGTTCGACTGAAACATGATCAAAGCATTTGGCAAGGTCAAGGCTGACGACTGCTGCTGTGCCAGGCTGCTTAAACTCAGTCTGAAAAGCAGCAAGGGCGTCTGCAACTGATCGGCCGGAGATCCTCGCTTGGCGCCCACTCTCATACCCAACGTTGAGTTTCGGCTCGACGCACCCAGGCTGATGCAAGGACTCGCCACGGGGCACTTTCGAGCACTATGGGCCTGAGCTTGTCAGCTGGGCATTGGCTTTGTGTGTGCAAGGATTCCTTTATAAAGGTGAACCTGACGTAACTCACACCAGGTAAGTTTGCCCGTTCCATCCAGATGCCTGCTGGTCAGACACTCCACCAGGCCTAGGTAGAGGCAAAAGTCCCCAATATGTTTGCGTGCTCGTGTCTGATCGACGGTGGCATTAGGGATACTGTTCGCGTTTCCCGTTTTTGGCCGCCAAGGCAGCAGCGGCCACCTGGCACGCTGCCTCACATATGACTGGCTTGACAGTCTGGTTTTCACAAGCACCGCCACGCAACCCTTAGCGTGTTCCCACCTCTGAGTAGGGGCGGCTTCGCACACAACGCCGCGACACGTTATCCAGCGCTGTTGCAAGCTAAGCAAACTTCTTGCAACAAAAACATGTCCGGCGTGGCCTTGAAAAGTTGCATGGCCGCATAGGCATGTTCCGCAACCTGTGACGTTGAGGCACACTCAAACTCAAGGGCCGGGTGTGGCGCGAACCCTTTGGAACTCAGATCCTTCTGGCAAGGCATCTTTGAATTTGAGCTACCGGAGCATATTGCTCAAGCCCTGCAGCTCACCCTTGTTGAGTTTCATTGTTCCCACACCCAGCTTTCAGCCGTCCGTGATCACGAAAGTGGATTTGCGCGCAAAGCCCTGTGTGTCCCTGCGCTCTTTCGCAAACTTGGCACGGTTATCCACGCACAGTAGCCCCGGGCGCGCTGCCGGAGCAACAGAACCACAAACGCCTGTCGCCCAATTGCCTCAAGCGACCCGACGCCTTGCTCTTGCGAGCCGGGACGCAACTGGAGACACGGGCGCGGTCTTGGAGGTTCTCTGAGTAGCATCATTGGGCCCGTGGTGAACCTCCAGCGCTGGACGAGCGCCGTCTGCCGGCTTGACGGAGACCAAAGAAAAGTAGTAGGCTGCGAGCACTTAGTGGTGAGCTTTCAATCAAAATGTATTACCAACAGCGTCACACAGTGAACTGATGGGTGTCTTCAGCAAAACGCGCTTGAGCCCAAACAGCTACGGGAGTGAAACATATCGAGCACAGCGTTGGCCTGCGCATGGCTATCGTCTCAGAAAGTATCTTCGCTCCAAGAACGCGGTTTTTGCGTGCTGAATGGTTTTGCCCAAACACGCGCAAGAAAAACGGCCGTTAAACACACTTTGCCAGCCCAAATCATAACTTTCCAGTACAAGCGTAGCACACAAAGTTTAGCAGAAGCGCTTCACTTTCGCAACTCCAGACAAGTATTGGATCATTGCGACGGTTCAACGCAAAATAGTACGAGCGCGGTGTTCGATGAGGATCTGCCCCTAAACGACTTTTACTCTCTCCCCGCCAGCCCTTTCGCCCGGCTGGACCCCACTGCAAACCCCCACTCCGAGCCATGTTGAAGCCAACAAAAAGTCAAAATGTGCGCTCCAGTGTCATGATGGTTTCTGTGGAACATGTTCAAAAGACATCTCTAAAGCGATCAGACAAAGTGATGTGGCACTAAATGAAACTGACCCAGGTTTGGGTACCTTCCTAGAAATGGATGCTAATTCAAAAGCATGTCAAAAGATATTGTCCCTTTAACGCAGTAATTATTACCAACTAAATACTGTGCCAACTAAAGCTAATGATGTCAATGGGAACTTTCGAAAACTCATGATGCAGCACGTCGCGGCCAAAGCGTGCCTTCTGTTATTCGATTCTGTTCTGTCTCTCGAAGGTTTGTGGTATCGCTAGACACTGGGTCTAGCTGGGAACCCTACGCTACACAATGAATTCATGCACGCTGCACTCTGACAACTGGATGACGCCTTCTAGTCGACCTCCTCCATCTTGGAAGCCTCGTCGGCCGCGCCCTCAACCTCCTCCAGCCTCAGACACGTGCAATCATTGTAGGTGATTGGCAACATGTTCAACATGACAAGGTTTCAGCGATGAGTCAACTCCAAACTCGAAAATTCACAAGTCCTTCTAGAGGCAGCCTGAAGAATGATAAAGGCGACGAGTGGCGGAGGCAAATCGTCATCATCGCCCAGGCCCTCGTCGTCGTCATCGATGCTGAGGCCGAGCTTGATCATGCGATGGATGCGGCCTGCAAACTGTGTAGGCTCATCCAGGTTGAAGCCAGAGGTGAGAAGCGAGGTGTCGAACAACAGCCAGATCAGGTCCTTCACCGTCTTGTCAGACTTGTCGGCCGCTGCCTTCTTCTTCAGCTCAGACATGATGGAGTGCTTTGGGTTCACTTCCATAGTCTTCTTGGAGACCATGTAAGATGTCATGGAGTTGTCGCGAAGGGCTTGCGCCTTCATGATACCTGTGCTTGCCAAAGTTAGTCAACACAAAACACAAACAAGTCAGCCTCCATTTACCGCAAGAAACAAACTTTAACACATGAGCATATGTGTCAATCAACAGCTTAACTAATACAGTAATGGCAACACAGCTGTTTGCATGGCAAGGTTCGCTCCATGTTGGCAGACCAGCCATACTCGGAGGTGGTCAGCACGCAAGGAGAGTCAGCCATGCGAGAGCTCACCATGACCTTCTCAACCTTGTCACCCAGCACCTCCTTCATCAGCTTCGTCAGCGGCTCGAACTCCGCCTTCAGCTCCTCCAACTTCTTCTTCTCGTCCTCGTCGTCAATGTCCAGACCTTCTTTGGTGGTGCTCTTCAGCTTCTTGCCATCGAACTCCTTCAGCTGCTGCACGCAGTACTCATCCACGGGGTCCGTCATGTAGATCACCTCGATGCCCTTCTTGCGCAGGGTCTCCAGGAAGGGCGACGAAGACACCGCCTGGATGCTCTCACCCGTGATGTAGTAGATGTCGTTCTGGCCCTCCTTCATGCGGTCCACGTACTCCTTCAGGCTGATCTGCTCGTCGCCCGACTTGGAGGTGTGGAATCGCAAGAGCTCCGCGACCTTGGTGCGGTTCGTCGAGTCCTCGTGCACGCCCAGCTTCAGGCACTTGCCAAACTGCTCGTAGAACTTCTTGTAATCGTCCTCGGGCGATTTCTGCCAAACCGGGCCACTCTGCTTTGCTTACAGCACAAGGCGGTTTCAAAACAGGACGGCGATAAACCTAAACCTATTGTGCATCTGCAGCGTGCTGTCTGTCTGCCGTTGACAGTTTCATGGACTTATCGAGCTGTTGCATAAGTCAATCGCGGCAGTGTCTTGTTGTCAAATGTGTGTTGTCATACTGAGTGCATCTTCAACATCAACATCACGTTTTCTGTGCTTGGTCGTCATGTCAACTCGCTAAACCAGTCTGCAAGAGTGGGTTGTTCAAATGCTTGTGACCTGATTGCCTCTCTATGCGTTGACATCATAACGTTGAAGGAATTTGTGACGTTTTGAAGAGTCTCCTTCTTCTCAGCAATTTCCGCGAACATCTCCAGGCACTTCTTCACAAGATTCTTCTTGATCACTCGCAGGATCTTGTTCTGCTGGAGCGTCTCACGGGAGATGTTCAGAGGCAAATCCTCGGAATCCACCACACCCTTCACAAAGTTGAGCCACTCCGGCATGAGCTCATCACAGTCGTCCATGATGAACACTCGGCGCACGTACAACTTGATGTTGTTGCGCTTCTTCTTGGTCTCAAAAAGGTCGAAAGGCGCACGGCGAGGCACAAACAGCAGGGCACGGAACTCCAACTGGCCCTCAACGCTGAAGTGCTTCACTGCAAGGTGGTCCTCCCAGTCGTTGGACAAGGACTTGTAGAAGCTAGCATACTCCTCGTTAGTGACGTCCTCAGACTTGCGCATCCACAAGGGCTTGTTCTTGTTCCTTACCAGGCAAGATGGTAGGTCAATATAAACTCATCACACAAATGTTAGCTACTTTGGCTCTCAAATTAAACTCATCACAGTGAACGCATCCATCCCCCCCCCCCCCCCCCAATGCCTGTCACACTTTGCCAGCTCGCCAACCAAGGCTCAGCTGCTCCCACTCGTGGGACACCTCTTTCACCTTCTTCGTCTTCTTTTTCTTCTCCTCCTTCTCCTTCTCTTCATCCACTTCCTCAATCCTTGAAAGCTGCTGTCATGCATGATTCTATCCCTGCTACAGTCACCCTGCCACAAGCCTCAACTACCAAGCGAATGACAACGTCAGTACCAAAGACAAACCCAGGAGCTTGGGTTCGTCTCCGGCATCCTCCTTCTTCTCCTCTTCCTCCTCCTCGGAATCGGTGACCTCCTTCTCCTGGCAAGTTCAGCGCACAAAGCAGCGCCCTCGTAACGTGGGCAAAGTGACCCACAACATGCAAACATGCCTTAAATGGTATCAGCATGAGAACTACAAACAGTGATTGTGTAGCACAAGCCCTTCAAAGACGACCGACTCTTGATGCTTCATGTTGCCTCAAAAGTGAGTGGAAGACCTGAACTCAATCCCGGCACAGTTCTTTGACAAGTCCACCTCTCACCAACACGTCCAAAACACCAGAACAACTGTCCCAACTCTCATGCAGAGTAGAGCACACATCTCGTTTCAGTGTGAATGATATGGGCATGACAAACAGAACCCTTGAGCTTGCAACCAGGCTGTTCAAAGACCAATGACTCTCTCGATGCTTCATGTCGTCTCAAAACTCAATCAATGCCAATTCTTCGATCAAGGCATGGTTGACAAGCCTGGCCAACTCTCAATCCCTCACCAAGTCGAGCCCACCTTGGACTTCTCGACATAGAGCTCGATCGGGAAGCCAATAAACTCAGAGTGCTTCTTCACCAAGTCCTTGAGGCGTCGCTCCTCCAGGAACTCAGACTGGTCCTCCTTGAGGTAGCAGATGATCTTGGTGCCGCGCTTGATCTCGCCGTGCACGAGCTCTGTGTCCTTCTGCACAGTAAAGGATCCACCGGCACCAGACTCCCAGATGTACCTCAGGCGTGTAATATTTGAACTGGCATGGGCGCCACCAACGAAATGTACCTCAGGCGAGACAAAGTTGTTAGCCACTCAGGCACCATGATTGGTAAGTGTAAAACAACAAGCAAAAATGTCCATCTATTTTGCACATGGATGCAATGCAATTACAAGTCCTTAAGCTTGATGCTTGGCAACAGCAAGAGCGGCCACTATTTCAAAACCTTTCGTTGCGAATCAGGCAGCAGCCCAACCCCACATGCTATGAACCAAGGTGCTGCTCGTCGTCATTGTGCTTGCTGATCACGCGAACCTTGTCGGAAACAAGGTAGGCACTGTAGAAGCCGACGCCGAACCTTGGCTTCGCATGATACGATGGGGTACACGCAGGCAGTCATGATCATGATAGTGTCTGATAGTGCAAATGCACATTTCAGCGCATCTGCATTAAGACATAATTAAACACTGTTCATAGTTCATGCGTGACGGGCAGCCTCTTCCTCCCAACATGACATGGCATTGGCCTTCGCCTAAATTGCCCAAACCAAGCAACAAGAAACACCAGTATTGCATGATCTCTTGTGTGCAAGGCTCAACACAAGTCACAAACTGTTTCAGTCAAAGATAATATCTACGCAAGCGCCGTTCACGTCAACACTCTACAACATGTAATTAACATGCAATCAAGACGAAATCGCCATGCACTGCAGAGCTACAAAGCCGATGTTTAAGATCCAAACGGGGCAGAAAGGATGTTGAGCTGCGGGTTCCTTTTGATTGAGCAGGTCAACGATTTCGTGTTGCAAGTCAGATTGCTTACGATTTGGGCGATCGCAAGACCCAATCTAAGATTAAGCATTGCAGAATCAGTCTTCGCAGATTTCGGCAAGCAGCTGTCCGATCATGGAGATATCGCCACCCGCGGCCATTGCCTCCATAAAGGCCTTTGTGCCGCTCTTGGCGATGGTGCCCAGATTGTTGATGAGCTCGTTCCTGGTGGAAACTACACTAGCTGCCATGCGCCATGCATGGCAAGTGAACCGCAGGTCTCACAACGATGGTTCCTTTCGCTGGCAATTTCAGCAACCCTAGGGCTGACGCCTCCAATGCGGGACCCACAAAGGGGCCCTGCATAAAGAACCCGGGCCAATTCCTCAGGGGGACGGAAACAAAGAAACATGCCCCCTACCAGAAGGGAAGACCCCCAATTCCCTTCATCTCTCTAGCTAGTCTTTCCCCCCCAAAAAAAATGAGATGTTGGAACCACAAATGGAGATCTTCAAAAATCACCTTCAAGCCTTCCCCCACGCCCCCATCTTTGAGGGGGTGGGGATAAAGCAACCCCATTTTGAGGGCAGACATAAAACCATCGGCTTGGAGCCTATGAGAAGCCCAGGGCTGAAAAAAAAAAGTCCGCCCAAGCGGAGCGAGAAACGCCGCAAAGCCGCGCGAGGTGCTGAGGGTCCACCCACACAATTGGATGTGGCTCAAAAATAAACAGCTGGGGTTACGCAGGTGTTGGTCCATGTTTCCACCTACCAGGGTTCCATTTGGGTACCTTTTTTTGAGCCACAGCCAATTCTTCTTTTCACGGTTGCTCAAGCTGGGGAACGCGACAGAAAACTAGTTTTTCAGGCCAAGCGTTTTTGAAGCAAACATCGGAAAGGCCCGGCCGCCCAAAAGTTGAGGGCCCCGCGAAAGTCCGAACAGCGCGCGGGCGGGCGTGCCACTGGCCGCGTCTCCGAACGCAGTCCAGGCCCGCCATACAGGCTTCGCGAGCGAGGTTGAACTCGTGCACAGGGCCAACGTTGTCTGCTTCCTATTCTTCAGCACTCGCGTTTTCCACCCTTTTCTTACCTTTCGCGCGCACGTTGCGTCGAATGTGCAAGTTAATGATCTTAAGCAGAGGGAACATCAATTAGTGCCAGTACTACACAAGTTCCTTCTAAACCTACCCCCCGGTATTGTTTGAAGAACAGGTTTTCCAAGGTAAACACTTCCTTTTTCAGTCCGGGTTTGCCATCATACCGGGCCATACCCTGAAAAACATGGTATTAGGAGTAGGGGGTGCTTTCAGTAAACAAGAGACAAGGTGTTCTTGCAGTCGACCGCTCACCGCCAAGCGTCTTGGTCATGCCGATGCCCGAGTCCTCGATCGTCAGGGTCGAGTTGGTCTTGTCCGGGACGATCTTGATGAAGAAATTCGGCTGGGCCTCACAGGAATGCAAATCTGATTCACAAAGGTGAAATGAGGAATCCATAAGTGATGGGCCTTCATTTTAACTTCGTTTTGTTCCAACCAGGCGAGCTCGTGGTATTCGTTGCTCGCGCATAAAAATTGTTTTACGCAGCGGTGCTTGCTTAAAACCTTGCCTTTTTCAAATCTTTTTTGATGGCGTTTCCTTTGATCGTGGACCGGTCGAGAAAATGCCGCACGTGATCTCAGACATTAATTTAAAATGACCCCCGCATAGGCAAAACTCGTCAGGACAAGTCAGCCCAATAATACGCTTGGGACAAACCCTACAACTAACCAGGTGATTAATGAACCCGTCTGTCTATAGACATCTTTGCGCACGCCGAATGTCATGGCTTGCCTTAGAGATTCACAGCTTCAAGAACAACATGCAACACCAATTTTGCTGCATTTACCCTCTGCGCCTCAATCTTCTCAGGGTCGGTGATGCTCTCATACCTCAGCCAATGTTTCAAACAAATTGCAACGCTGGCACGTAATAATCCTTGTCATGGTCAGCTAAAGAGTCTGGCCTGCTCAATAAGCAATTTTTCGGGAAATGTCACAATGAAATCCTGAATCCTCAACAAGGCAGGGTGCCGGATCTTGTCCAAGGCGTCGGACGCGTTGGAGATCAGCTCGCGCAGGAAAATCTCCTTGTTGCTATAGAAGGTGTTGATGATCAAGGACATCAACTGCTGGATGTCAGCATTGAAGGCGAAAGTTTCAGCCATGACTGGCGCAAAGAAACTCCGTCCAAGTAAAACTTGCTACTCCTCGCTCTTGAGCAGTTGAAGCGCAATGTAGCATATCGCGATCAGTCGCAGACACAGCTGCAACTGCAACAAACCTTATCAAACCTTTCCCATGAATTCACCTGGGCCTGCAGAGAAGCGTTCAGTTCCCCTGACACATTCGTGATTGTAGAAGCCAGTCAAACAAACCGGTCCTGAAGCCATGTGATGTGGAAACGCGCGAACATGCACCCGCCACATATCTTGGACCCGAGCGCTCAAATCCAAAGCACAATACCTCAAAGCCAACCAAAGGAATACTGGCCGAGATACAACAAAACCCCAACACACTTCTGAATGTGCCACGACTGCTTGCCAAGTAGAACGCGAGTTCAGTAAAAAGCAAACTGACTAGCGTCCGAAAGACACGACTGCTCCGGCCACATACTAGTTGCATAATGGCCCAGTCTGTCCAACCGCGTCAGCTTAAAGCCGCGGGCGGGCAATCCCTACTGGATACTATTAGCGCTTGAACCTTCATACTAAGCATCACTTAATTTAATGAGCCCTGCCTCCATACTGCTTTTTTTCCTTTCAACTCAGCGCGCCAACAACCCCCCAACTCCGGCTCTAAGTTGCTGCAAAGTCCAGTCCAGTCACGGTAGCGCCCACAGAGCAAGCTCATTTCTGCTCAGCCTCAGCATCGCAATATCTACTTTGGCTGTTTCTTGAATACGTCCCCAGCCGTGTAGTAAGGCAGTATGCACAGAAACCGGACGACCCAAGCTCCAGGGCCCAATTCGAAAAAACCGCGCCTGCTTCAGCCAAGCATATTGCAACTGGCGAAGCCATTTGTTTTGAAGGCCAGCCCCGCTCGATATGCTGAATGGGCAACGCGATCTGATTCCCGCTCACGCCGGCCAACTCCACCCAATGTTCCTAGTTTTGTGTCAGCCACTCGCCTTGACAGGAAAGAAACTCAGCTCCTGTGAAGCCTGTGGCGCCCTGCAGATCTGCTACACTGGCCTTCAATGGGCGTCGGCGTGGGCGCCGTCGCGAAAAGCGGTCATAGCCGTGGGGCCACGTTGAGAAATGGGTCGAGCTCGGCGCAATGACGAGGCCAATGCCACAAAGCATCGAGTTTCTTCCGTCTCTGGCTCGATTCATGAAGGCAGGCTCCTGCAACAGCCTCAAAAGTTGCAGAGCACTCTATTTTGACAGCAGCGCGGGCGTAGGAACAGTGTTGTTCCGCTGGGGAGGCCAATGCATGATGGGGCTCTGAAACTGATCCAGATCAGCAATGCAAAACTCAGCGTGCGATTGCTCCAGCGGGGCTGCCGGCCTGGCAGCTTTGCTCCAGTTGTTGGCCTGCGCGACGCTCACGCGGCAAAGCAACTCGCGCTGCTGAGATCTCCGCGCTCGTCTTTCTGGAGGTGTTGATCTACCGGCTCAGGCATGCTACACTGCAAGGCTGGCGGCAAACGCCAGCCTCTTTCTCTTAGGTGATCGCGCCGGTTCGACGGTGGCATTGAACTGTTGCTCGCGTTTCCAAGCGTGTTTTCGGCCAAGGCAACAGCGACCGCCTGGCACGCTGCCTCACATACGACTCTGACAGGGCAGGGTGGCGTGTCTGCCCGCTGCACGAACCTCCAACACTGCCCTGTGGCCAGGGGCCACCAGACAGAATTGTGGACGAGCTATTCTAGGGCGCTGCAGTCCGGCCCGGCCTCTCTATGCCAGGCAGATGCCAACAGCAAAGAACCGTGTTTCGCGGAATGCTGCAAGATGCTCAACTCTGGTCACACTTGCTCAAACAAACCTTCTGCGCGGGTGGTTCTTTTGGGCCACTCTCTGACGAACGCCGGATCGACGCTCAGCTCGCCCGAGATCAAGAGCCACTGGTTGAGGCGCTGCTAGCCCTTCCATCCACGCAGTAGCGCGCGAAGCCCGATCCTTAGCCACACTGGCAGCGCCCTTAGTTGCGCAGCCCCGCAGAAAGCCTGGGGCGAGCTCTCTGGGCGGCCTCAGCAAGACGCGTCATTTGGCGCACCTGCACCAGGACCAGGGCATGAAGGTTGAGACGATCGTCCCAACCAAGCCTGGAAGCCAAAGCAGAAGTGGGGGGCCTTCCATTTTTCAAAGTGGCCACAACCGCAAAAGATGCGCACGCGGTCGGGAACCTTCGGGGAGAGACAAAAGGGCAGCAGATTTTCGCAAGCCGCAGCTCCAGTCATGATTCGAAGGCCCTGGCCGGCGCATTGGTAGGCAAGGGTCCTGCCAGTGGTGACAGCAGCGTTCTCCTTGCATTGCGCGTGCATGGACAGGTGGAAGACTGAGCATAGGTGGATGTGCTTTCGCGGTCGTTAATGGAGCACGACGCTGTTGATGCATGGCCTCACCTGTATTTTCTTCTGGTTCTACTGATACGCTGCGCGCTTTCACACTGCCGTCGGTGCCATTGCCTTGTCTGCACCTGAGACGCGTGCATCGCAAGGTTGATTTTCAATGTCGATGGCAGGAGACGGCGGAAGCGGCTAAGACCGATATAGGACTGGCTTTGCTGCTAGGCTGGGGCGTGTCTGGTTTTCCTGGCTGGCTTTCCCTGGCGTGCAGCATCCTAATGGCAAGAAGCATTCACGGTCAGCTTCGTGGCGTGTGCATTATTAGGATGTTGCACGCCGGGAAAGCCAGAAGAAAAACCAGACGCGGCAGCATCATCCCCATCCCTTAGTCGTAACGCGTCTGCAAGAGACGCGCCCGCACCGCAGCCATGTGGCGGATCACCATCCCATCCTCGGCGAGGCCAAGTGGCCATCCCAGTCGTTTCTGCAGCTCATCCCGTGGGATCGCAGGGCGATCCTCTGAGAAAGCGGGGCACTCCCAGCACGCATGGTTCCACGAGGGTGCCACAGCATTTTTGCAATGCTCACAAGTGTCTCTTTGCGGCTGTTTAGTCATGACCTGAAACAAGCGTCACTAACAGCACCGCCGGTCAAAACCGCACGGGCATGCACACATCCTTGTTTGTACGCATGTCTAGCAGCAGTTATGCGGCGCTCATCGTACTGCAAAATCGGCATGTTTCGCACTTCTCTTCTATTTGATCTGCTCCACTTGCGAAAGAGTTGCTGCCGCCAGCTTTCGCGCACTCGATGCATGGACTCATCAAGGGCTCGCAAGTTGGTCATGTCCAGTGTGCCACTCCGCGGATGTTGCCATGTCCATGCTGCCACAACACGCCATCCGAGCCATCGCAGGTGCTGTGTTGCAACTTGCTGCCATGTGCGCCGCTTTGGGTGTGCAAACCACATGGGGCCAATCCCACGAGCAACAACTCGATACAAATCACAAATGCAAACATGCACAGCACGCATTTTTGCCTGCGTGAGATACCCTGCCAGCAAAGACGCAAGCGCAGGGCTAGCAGGGGACCGCCTAAAGGTGGCACACTTGTTGACCGCCTGTTGCATGGTTACCCAGGGCTGCAAATTAGTGAAGAACCAGCATCCCCAACTAGCCTTAGGGAGGACAACGGTGGTCAGCACTTCCAGCTTCACAGGTGCAGAGACTGGCAAAAATGTGGTTCTCTGGATCATGCTGCTAGTATCGCGCACACGCCCAACTGCAGTTAGGCGCTCCGGCACTCGGCTGTAGTCAAAATCAACACCCAACATTCTGGCAGACTGCGAAAACCATGCCGCACATGCCTCATCAGCGCCACGCGCTAGCATGTCTTGTTTCACCTGGGGTTTTTGCACCACAACACATATTTTATGCTGGTTTTCTACCAGCCCCAACGCCAGAGACCAACGTGACCATCTGTCGATCAACGTCATGGCATAATGCCCGCTCTGCGTCAGGAAGGAGCGATCATCAACGTATGTGATCATACTGATCTGCTGACCATCCTGGGCCGCACGCCGTGCAATGTCAATGGTTGGCATGCTGAGCGCCGCAAGCAAACAGAGCATCCCCCTGGGGGAGCGAATTGGTGATGTAAGATGGCATTTCTGCTACACATCCCCTGTATTGTATTTAATACCGGTATTGGTGTGCCCAAATATGAGAGCAAGCAAGCAGCATGGGCTGGGGCATGCCCAGTTTTTCCAGGCATCTTGTGGCAAGTTCGACTGAAACATGATCAAAGCATTTGGCAAGGTCAAGGCTGACGACTGCTGCTGTGCCAGGCTGCTTAAACTCAGTCTGAAAAGCAGCAAGGGCGTCTGCAACTGATCGGCCGGAGATGCCTCCATGGGCCTCGCTTGGCGCCCACTCTCATACCCAACGTTGAGTTTCGGCTCGACGCGCCCAGGCTGATGCAAGGACTCGCCACAGGGCACTTTCGAGCACTATGGGCCTGAGCTTGTCAGCTGGGCATTTGTGTGTGCAAGGATTCCTTTGGAAGGTGAACCTGACGTAACTCACACCAGGTAAGTTTGCCCGTTCCATCCAATGCCCGCTGGTCAGACACTCCACCAGGCCTAGGTAGAGGCAAAAGTCCCCAATATGTTTGCGTGCTCGTGTCTGATCGACGGTGGCATTAGGGCTACTGTTCGCGTTTCCCGTTTTTGGCCGCCAAGGCAGCAGCGGCCACCTTGCACGCTGCCTCACATATGACTGGCTTGACAGCCTGGTTTTCACAAGCACCGCCACGCAACCCTTAGCGCGTTCCCACCTCTGAGTAGGGGCGGCTTCGCACACAACGCCGCGCCACGTTATCCAGCGCTGTTGGAAGCTAAGCAAACTTCTTGCAACAAAAACATGTCCGGCGTGGCCTTGAAAAGTCGCATGGCCGCATAGGCATGTTCCGCAACCTGTGACGTTGAGGCACACTCAAACTCAAGGGCCGGGTGTGGCGCGAACCCTTTGGAACTCAGATCCTTCTGGCAAGGCATCTTTGAATTTGAGCTACCGGAGCATATTGCTCAAGCCCTGCAGCTCACCCTTGTTGAGTTTCATTGTTCCCACACCCAGCTTTCAGCCGTCCGTCATCACGAAAGTGGATTTGCGCGCAAAGCCCTGTGTGTCCCTGCGCTCTTTCGCAAACTTGGCACGGTTATCCACGCACAGTAGCCCCGGGCGCGCTGCCGGAGCAACAGAACCACAAACGCCTGTCGCCCAATTGCCTCAATGACTCAAGCGACCCGACGCCTTGCTCTTGCGAGCCGGGACGCAACTGGAGACACGGGCGCGGTCTTGGAGGTTCTCTGAGTAGCATCATTGGGCCCGTGGCGAACCTCCAGCGCTGGACGAGCGCCGTCTGCCGGCTTGACAGCGGCCAAGGCTGCCAAAAGGCTGACTGGTCCAAAAAACCAGGACAAGCAGGCAGAGTTGAGGGGCCTCAGCAGAGTAGCAGTTGCGGCAGGGCAGGACTCAAGCGGTGGCTTCACTCCAAGCGCGCTTCTGGAGACCAAAGAAAAGTAGTAGGCTGCGAGCACTTAGTGGTGAGCTTTCAATCAAAATGTATTATTACCAACAGCGTCACACAGTGAACTGATGGGTGTCTTCAGCAAAACGCGCTTGAGCCCAAACAGCTACGGGAGTGAAACATATCGAGCACAGCGTTGGCCTTTCGGGCATGCGCGTGGCTATCGTCTCAGAAAGTATCTTCGCTCCAAAAACGCGGTTTTTGCGCGCTGAATAGTTTTGCCCAAACACGCGCAAAAAAAACGGCCGTTAAACACACTTTGCCAGCCAAAATCATAACTTTCCAGTACAAGCGTAGCACACAAAGTTTAGCAGAAGCGCTTCACTTTCGCAACTCCAGACAAGTATTGGATCATTGCGACGGTTCAACGCAAAATAGTACGAGCGCGGTGTTCGATGAGGACCTGCCCCTAAACGACTTTTACTCTCTCCCCGCCAGCCCTTTCGCCCGGCTGGACCCCACTGCAAACCCCCACTCCGAGCCATGTTGAAGCCAACAAAAAGTCAAAATGTGCGCTCCAGTGTCATGATGGTTTCTGTGGAACATGTTCAAAAGACATCTCTAAAGCGATCAGACAAAGTGATGTGGCACTAAATGAAACTGACCCAGGTTTGGGTACCTTCCTAGAAATGGATGCTAATTCAAAAGCATTTCAAAAGATATTGTCCCTTTAACGCAGTAATTATTACCAACTAAATACTGTGCCAACTAAAGCTAATGATGTCAATGGGTCACTTCCCGAAAACTCATGATGCAGCACGTCGCGGCCAAAGCGTGCCTTCTGTTATTCGATTCTGTTCTGTCTCTCGAAGGTTTGTGGTATCGCTAGACACTGGGTCTAGCTGGGAACCCTACGCTACACAATGAATTCATGCACGCTGCACTCTGACAACTGGATGACGCCTTCTAGTCGACCTCCTCCATCTTGGAAGCCTCGTCGGCCGCGCCCTCAACCTCCTCCAGCCTCAGACACGTGCAATCATTGCAGGTGATTAGCAACATAACAAGGTTTCAGCGATGAGTCAACTCCAAACTCAAAAGACATTCACAAGTCCTTCTAGAGGCAGCCTGAAGAATGATAAAGGCGACGAGTGGCGGAGGCAAATCGTCATCATCGCCCAGGCCCTCGTCGTCGTCATCGATGCTGAGGCCGAGCTTGATCATGCGATGGATGCGGCCTGCAAACTGTGTAGGCTCATCCAGGTTGAAGCCAGAGGTGAGAAGCGAGGTGTCGAACAACAGCCAGATCAGGTCCTTCACCGTCTTGTCAGACTTGTCGGCCGCTGCCTTCTTCTTCAGCTCAGACATGATGGAGTGCTTTGGGTTCACTTCCATAGTCTTCTTGGAGACCATGTAAGATGTCATGGAGTTGTCGCGAAGGGCTTGCGCCTTCATGATACCTGTGCTTGCCAAAGTTAGTCAACACAAAACACAAACAAGTCAGCCTCCATTTACCGCAAGAAACAAACTTTAACACATGAGCATATGTGTCAATCAACAGCTTAACTAATACAGTAATGGCAACACAGCTGTTTGCATGGCAAGGTTCGCTCCATGTTGGCAGACCAGCCATACTCGGAGGTGGTCAGCACGCAAGGAGAGTCAGCCATGCGAGAGCTCACCATGACCTTCTCAACCTTGTCACCCAGCACCTCCTTCATCAGCTTCGTCAGCGGCTCGAACTCCGCCTTCAGCTCCTCCAACTTCTTCTTCTCGTCCTCGTCGTCAATGTCCAGACCTTCTTTGGTGGTGCTCTTCAGCTTCTTGCCATCGAACTCCTTCAGCTGCTGCACGCAGTACTCATCCACGGGGTCCGTCATGTAGATCACCTCGATGCCCTTCTTGCGCAGGGTCTCCAGGAAGGGCGACGAAGACACCGCCTGGATGCTCTCACCCGTGATGTAGTAGATGTCGTTCTGGCCCTCCTTCATGCGGTCCACGTACTCCTTCAGGCTGATCTGCTCGTCGCCCGACTTGGAGGTGTGGAATCGCAAGAGCTCCGCGACCTTGGTGCGGTTCGTCGAGTCCTCGTGCACGCCCAGCTTCAGGCACTTGCCAAACTGCTCGTAGAACTTCTTGTAATCGTCCTCGGGCGATTTCTGCCAAACCGGGCCACTCTGCTTTGCTTACAGCACAAGGCGGTTTCAAAACAGGACGGCGATAAACCTAAACCTATTGTGCATCTGCAGCGTGCTGTCTGTCTGCCGTTGACAGCTTCATGGATTTATCGAGCTGTTGCATAAGTCAATCGCGGCAGTGTCTTGTTGTCAAATGTGTGTTGTCATACTGAGTGCATCTTCAACATCAACATCACGTTTTCTGTGCTTGGTCGTCATGTCAACTCGCTAAACCAGTCTGCAAGAGTGGGTTGTTCAAATGCTTGTGACCTGATTGCCTCTCTATGCGTTGACATCATAACGTTGAAGGAATTTGTGACGTTTTGAAGAGTCTCCTTCTTCTCAGCAATTTCCGCAAACATCTCCAGGCACTTCTTCACAAGATTCTTCTTGATCACTCGCAGGATCTTGTTCTGCTGGAGCGTCTCACGGGAGATGTTCAGAGGCAAATCCTCGGAATCCACCACACCCTTCACAAAGTTGAGCCACTCCGGCATGAGCTCATCACAGTCGTCCATGATGAACACTCGGCGCACGTACAACTTGATGTTGTTGCGCTTCTTCTTGGTCTCAAAAAGGTCGAAAGGCGCACGGCGAGGCACAAACAGCAGGGCACGGAACTCCAACTGGCCCTCAACGCTGAAGTGCTTCACTGCAAGGTGGTCCTCCCAGTCGTTGGACAAGGACTTGTAGAAGCTAGCATACTCCTCGTTAGTGACGTCCTCAGACTTGCGCATCCACAAGGGCTTGTTCTTGTTCCTTACCAGGCAAGATGGTAGGTCAATATAAACTCATCACACAAATGTTAGCTACTTTGGCTCTCAAATTAAACTCATCACAGTGAACGCATCCATCCCCCCCCCCCCCCCAATGACTGTCACACTTTGCCAGCTCGCCAACCAAGGCTCAGCTGCTCCCACTCGTGGGACACCTCTTTCACCTTCTTCGTCTTCTTTTTCTTCTCCTCCTTCTCCTTCTCTTCATCCACTTCCTCAATCCTTGAAAGCTGCTGTCATGCATGATTCTATCCCTGCTACAGTCACCCTGCCACAAGCCTCAACTACCAAGCGAATGACAACGTCAGTACCAAAGACAAACCCAGGAGCTTGGGTTCGTCTCCGGCATCCTCCTTCTTCTCCTCTTCCTCCTCCTCGGAATCGGTGACCTCCTTCTCCTGGCAAGTTCAGCGCACAAAGCAGCGCCCTCGTAACGTGGGCAAAGTGACCCACAACATGCAAACATGCCTTAAATGGTATCAGCATGAGAACTACAAACAGTGATTGTGTAGCACAAGCCCTTCAAAGACGACCGACTCTTGATGCTTCATGTTGCCTCAAAAGTGAGTGGAAGACCTGAACTCAATCCCGGCACAGTTCTTTGACAAGTCCACCTCTCACCAACACGTCCAAAACACCAGAACAACTGTCCCAACTCTCATGCAGAGTAGAGCACACATCTCGTTTCAGTGCGAATGATATGGGCATGACAAACAGAACCCTTGAGCTTGCAACCAGGCTGTTCAAAGACCAATGACTCTCTCGATGCTTCATGTCGTCTCAAAACTCAATCAATGCCAATTCTTCGATCAAGGCATGGTTGACAAGCCTGGCCAACTCTCAATCCCTCACCAAGTCGAGCCCACCTTGGACTTCTCGACATAGAGCTCGATCGGGAAGCCAATAAACTCAGAGTGCTTCTTCACCAAGTCCTTGAGGCGTCGCTCCTCCAGGAACTCAGACTGGTCCTCCTTGAGGTAGCAGATGATCTTGGTGCCGCGCTTGATCTCGCCGTGCACGAGCTCTGTGTCCTTCTGCACAGTAAAGGATCCACCGGCACCAGACTCCCAGATGTACCTCAGGCGTGTAATATTTGAACTGGCATGGGCGCCACCAACGAAATGTACCTCAGGCGAGACAAAGTTGTTAGCCACTCAGGCACCATGATTGGTAAGTGTAAAACAACAAGCAAAAATGTCCATCTATTTTGCACATGGATGCAATGCAATTACAAGGCCTTAAGCTTGATGCTTGGCAACAGCAAGAGCGGCCACTATTTCAAAACCTTTCGTTGCGAATCAGGCAGCAGCCCAACCCCACATGCTATGAACCAAGGTGCTGCTCGTCGTCATTGTGCTTGCTGATCACGCGAACCTTGTCGGAAACAAGGTAGGCACTGTAGAAGCCGACGCCGAACCTTGGCTTCGCATGATACGATGGGGTACACGCAGGCATTCATGAGCATGATAGTGTCTGATAGTGCAAATGCACATTTCAGCGCATCTGCATTAAGACATAATTAAACACTGTTCATAGTTCATGCGTGACGGGCAGCCTCTTCCTCCCAACATGACATGGCATTGGCCCTCGCCTAAATTGCCCAAACCAAGCAACAAGAAACACCAGTATTGCATGATCTCTTGTGTGCAAGGCTCAACACAAGTCACAAACTGTTTCAGTCAAAGATAATATCTACGCAAGCGCCGTTCACGTCAACACTCTACAACATGTAATTAACATGCAATCAAGACGAAATCGCCATGCACTGCAGAGCTACAAAGCCGATGTTTAAGATCCAAACGGGGCAGAAAGGATGTTGAGCTGCGGGTTCCTTTTGATTGAGCAGGTCAACGATTTCGTGTTGCAAGTCAGATTGCTTACGATTTGGGCGATCGCAAGACCCAATCTAAGATTAAGCATTGCAGAATCAGTCTTCGCAGATTTCGGCAAGCAGCTGTCCGATCATGGAGATATCGCCACCCGCGGCCATTGCCTCCATAAAGGCCTTTGTGCCGCTCTTGGCGATGGTGCCCAGATTGTTGATGAGCTCGTTCCTGGTGGAAACTACACTAGCTGCCATGCGCCATGCATGGCAAGTGAACCGCAGGTCTCACAACGATGGTTCCTTTCGCTGGCAATTTCAGCAACCCTAGGGCTGACGCCTCCAATGCGGGACCCACAAAGGGGCCCTGCATAAAGAACCCGGGCCAATTCCTCAGGGGGACGGAAACAAAGAAACATGCCCCCTACCAGAAGGGAAGACCCCCAATTCCCTTCATCTCTCTAGCTAGTCTTTCCCCCCCAAAAAAAATGAGATGTTGGAACCACAAATGGAGATCTTCAAAAATCACCTTCAAGCCTTCCCCCACGCCCCCATCTTTGAGGGGGTGGGGATAAAGCAACCCCATTTTGAGGGCAGACATAAAACCATCGGCTTGGAGCCTATGAGAAGCCCAGGGCTGAAAAAAAAAGTCCGCCCAAGCGGAGCGAGAAACGCCGCAAAGCCGCGCGAGGTGCTGAGGGTCCACCCACACAATTGGATGTGGCTCAAAAATAAACAGCTGGGGTTACGCAGGTGTTGGTCCATGTTTCCACCTACCAGGGTTCCATTTGGGTACCTTTTTTTTGAGCCACAGCCAATTCTTCTTTTCACGGTTGCTCAAGCTGGGGAACGCGACAGAAAACTAGTTTTTCAGGCCAAGCGTTTTTGAAGCAAACATCGGAAAGGCCCGGCCGCCCAAAAGTTGAGGGCCCCGCGAAAGTCCGAACAGCGCGCGGGCGGGCGTGCCACTGGCCGCGTCTCCGAACGCAGTCCAGGCCCGCCATACAGGCTTCGCGAGCGAGGTTGAACTCGTGCACAGGGCCAACGTTGTCTGCTTCCTATTCTTCAGCACTCGCGTTTTCCACCCTTTTCTTACCTTTCGCGCGCACGTTGCGTCGAATGTGCAAGTTAATGATCTTAAGCAGAGGGAACATCAATTAGTGCCAGTACTACACAAGTTCCTTCTAAACCTACCCCCCGGTATTGTTTGAAGAACAGGTTTTCCAAGGTAAACACTTCCTTTTTCAGTCCGGGTTTGCCATCATACCGGGCCATACCCTGAAAAACATGGTATTAGGAGTAGGGGGTGCTTTCAGTAAACAAGAGACAAGGTGTTCTTGCAGTCGACCGCTCACCGCCAAGCGTCTTGGTCATGCCGATGCCCGAGTCCTCGATCGTCAGGGTCGAGTTGGTCTTGTCCGGGACGATCTTGATGAAGAAATTCGGCTGGGCCTCACAGGAATGCAAATCTGATTCACAAAGGTGAAATGAGGAATCCATAAGTGATGGGCCTTCATTTTAACTTCGTTTTGTTCCAACCAGGCGAGCTCGTGGTATTCGTTGCTCGCGCATAAAAATTGTTTTACGCAGCGGTGCTTGCTTAAAACCTTGCCTTTTTCAAATCTTTTTTTGATGGCGTTTCCTTTGATCGTGGACCGGTCGAGAAAATGCCGCACGTGATCTCAGACATTAATTTAAAATGACCCCCGCATAGGCAAAACTCGTCAGGACAAGTCAGCCCAATAATACGCTTGGGACAAACCCTACAACTAACCAGGTGATTAATGAACCCGTCTGTCTATAGACATCTTTGCGCACGCCGAATGTCATGGCTTGCCTTAGAGATTCACAGCTTCAAGAACAACATGCAACACCAATTTTGCTGCATTTACCCTCTGCGCCTCAATCTTCTCAGGGTCGGTGATGCTCTCATACCTCAGCCAATGTTTCAAACAAATTGCAACGCTGGCACGTAATAATCCTTGTCATGGTCAGCTAAAGAGTCTGGCCTGCTCAATAAGCAATTTTTCGGGAAATGTCACAATGAAATCCTGAATCCTCAACAAGGCAGGGTGCCGGATCTTGTCCAAGGCGTCGGACGCGTTGGAGATCAGCTCGCGCAGGAAAATCTCCTTGTTGCTATAGAAGGTGTTGATGATCAAGGACATCAACTGCTGGATGTCAGCATTGAAGGCGAAAGTTTCAGCCATGACTGGCGCAAAGAAACTCCGTCCAAGTAAAACTTGCTACTCCTCGCTCTTGAGCAGTTGAAGCGCAATGTAGCATATCGCGATCAGTCGCAGACACAGCTGCAACTGCAACAAACCTTATCAAACCTTTCCCATGAATTCACCTGGGCCTGCAGAGAAGCGTTCAGTTCCCCTGACACATTCGTGATTGTAGAAGCCAGTCAAACAAACCGGTCCTGAAGCCATGTGATGTGGAAACGCGCGAACATGCACCCGCCACATATCTTGGACCCGAGCGCTCAAATCCAAAGCACAATACCTCAAAGCCAACCAAAGGAATACTGGCCGAGATACAACAAAACCCCAACACACTTCTGAATGTGCCACGACTGCTTGCCAAGTAGAACGCGAGTTCAGTAAAAAGCAAACTGACTAGCGTCCGAAAGACACGACTGCTCCGGCCACATACTAGTTGCATAATGGCCCAGTCTGTCCAACCGCGTCAGCTTAAAGCCGCGGGCGGGCAATCCCTACTGGATACTATTAGCGCTTGAACCTTCATACTAAGCATCACTTAATTTAATGAGCCCTGCCTCCATACTGCTTTTTTTCCTTTCAACTCAGCGCGCCAACAACCCCCCAACTCCGGCTCTACGTTGCTGCAAAGTCCAGTCCAGTCACGGTAGCGCCCACAGAGCAAGCTCATTTCTGCTCAGCCTCAGCATCGCAATATCTACTTTGGCTGTTTCTTGAATACGTCCCCAGCCCTGTAGTAAGGCAGTATGCACAGAAACCGGACGACCCAAGCTCCAGGGCCCAATTCGAAAAAACCGCGCCTGCTTCAGCCAAGCATATTGCAACTGGCGAAGCCATTTGTTTTGAAGGCCAGCCCCGCTCGATATGCTGAATGGGCAACGCGATCTGATTCCCGCTCACGCCGGCCAACTCCACCCAATGTTCCTAGTTTTGTGTCAGCCACTCGCCTTGACAGGAAAGAAACTCAGCTCCTGTGAAGCCTGTGGCGCCCTGCAGATCTGCTACACTGGCCTTCAATGGGCGTCGGCGTGGGCGCCGTCGCGAAAAGCGGTCATAGCCGTGGGGCCACGTTGAGAAATGGGTCGAGCTCGGCGCAATGACGAGGCCAATGCCACAAAGCATCAAGTTTTTTCCGTCTCTGGCTCGATTCATGAAGGCAGGCTCCTTCAACAGCCTCAAAAGTTGCAGAGCACTCTATTTTGACAGCAGCGCGGGCGTAGGAACAGTGTTGTTCCGCTGGGGAGGCCAATGCATGATGGGGCTCTGAAAATGATCCAGATCAGCAATGCAAAACTCAGCGTGCGATTGCTCCAGCGGGGCTGCCGGCCTGGCAGCTTTGCTCCAGTTGTTGGCCTGCGCGACGCTCACGCGGCAAAGCAACTCGCGCTGCTGACGGTTCTTTGCTGTTGGCATCTGCCTGGCATAGAGAGGCCGGGCCGGACTGCAGCGCCCTAGAATAGCTCGTCCACAATTCTGTCTGGTGGCCCCTGGCCACAGGGCAGTGTTGGAGGTTCGTGCAGCGGGCAGACACGCCACCCTGCCCTGTCAGAGTCGTATGTGAGGCAGCGTGCCAGGCGGTCGCTGTTGCCTTGGCCGAAAACACGCTTGGAAACGCGAACAACAGTTCAATGCCACCGTCGAACCGACGCGATCACCTAAGAGAAAGAGGCTGGCGTTTGCCGCCAGCCTTGCAGTGTAGCATGCCTGAGCCGGTAGATCAACACCTCCAGAAAGACGAGCGCGAAGATCTAGCCACTGGTTGAGGCGCTGCTAGCCCTTCCATCCACGCAGTAGCGCGCGAAGCCCGATCCTTAGCCACACTGGCAGCGCCCTTAGTTGCGCAGCCCCGCAGAAAGCCTGGGGCGAGATCTCTGGGCGGCCTCAGCAACACGCGTCATTTGGCGCACCTGCACCAGGACCAGGGCATGAAGGTTGAGACGATCGTCCCAACCAAGCCTGGAAGCCAAAGCAGAAGTGGGGGGCCTTCCATTTTTCAAAGTGGCCACAACCGCAAAAGATGCGCACGTGGTCGGGAACCTTCGGGGAGAGACAAAAGGGGCAGCAGATTTTCGCAAGCCGCAGCTCCAGTCATGATTCGAAGGCCCTGGCCGGCGCATTGGTAGGCAAGGGTCCTGCCAGTGGTGACAGCAGCGTTCTCCTTGCATTGCGCGTGCATGGACAGGTGGAAGACTGAGCATAGGTGGATGTGCTTTCGCGGTCGTTAATGGAGCACGACGCTGTTGATGCATGGCCTCACCTGTATTTTCTTCTGGTTCTACTGATACGCTGCGCGCTTTCACACTGCCGTCGGTGCCATTGCCTTGTCTGCACCTGAGACGCGTGCATCGCAAGGTTGATTTTCAATGTCGATGGCAGGAGATGGCGGAAGCGGCTAAGACCGATATAGGACTGGCTTTGCTGCTAGGCTGGGGCGTGTCTGGTTTTCCTGGCTGGCTTTCCCTGGCGCGCAACATCCTAATGGCAAGAAGCATTCACGGTCAGCTTCGTGGCGTGTGCATTATTAGGATGTTGCACGCCGGGAAAGCCAGAAGAAAAACCAGACGCGGCAGCATCATCCCCATCCCTTAGTCGTAACGCGTCTGCAAGAGACGCGCCCGCACCGCAGCCATGTGGCGGATCACCATCCCATCCTCGGCGAGGCCAAGTGGCCATCCCAGTCGTTTCTGCAGCTCATCCCGTGGGATCGCAGGGCGATCCTCTGAGAAAGCGGGGCACTCCCAGCACGCATGGTTCCACGAGGGTGCCACAGCATTTTTGCAATGCTCACAAGTGTCTCTTTGCGGCTGTTTAGTCATGACCTGAAACAAGCGTCACTAGCAGCACCGCCGGTCAAAACCGCACGGGCATGCACACATCCTTGTTTGTACGCATGTCTAGCAGCAGTTATGCGGCGCTCATCGTACTGCAAAATCGGCATGTTTCGCACTTCTCTTCTATTTGATCTGCTCCACTTGCGAAAGAGTTGCTGCCGCCAGCTTTCGCGCACTCGATGCATGGACTCATCAAGGGCTCGCAAGTTGGTCATGTCCAGTGTGCCACTCTGCGGATGTTGCCATGTCCATGCTGCCACAACACGCCATCCGAGCCATCGCAGGTGCTGTGTTGCAACTTGCTGCCATGTGCGCCGCTTTGGGTGTGCAAACCACATGGGGCCAATCCCACGAGCAACAACTCGATACAAATCACAAATGCAAACATGCACAGCACGCATTTTTGCCTGCGTGAGATACCCTGCCAGCAAAGACGCAAGCGCAGGGCTAGCAGGGGACCGCCTAAAGGTGGCACACTTGTTGACCGCCTGTTGCATGGTTACCCAGGGCTGCAAATTAGTGAAGAACCAGCATCCCCAACTAGCCTTAGGGAGGACAACGGTGGTCAGCACTTCCAGCTTCACAGGTGCAGAGACTGGCAAAAATGTGGTTCTCTGGATCATGCTGCTAGTATCGCGCACACGCCCAACTGCAGTTAGGCGCTCCGGCACTCGGCTGTAGACTGCAAAAGATGCAATCAGCCCACAGCATTAGCTGTCTTGCACCGCACCACAACACATATTTTATGCTGGTTTTCTACCAGCCCCAACGCCAGAGACCAACGTGACCATCTGTCGATCAACGTCATGGCATAATGCCCGCTCTGCGTCAGGAAGGAGCGATCATCAACGTATGTGATCATACTGATCTGCTGACCATCCTGGGCCGCACGCCGTGCAATGTCAATGGTTGGCATGCTGAGCGCCGCAAGCAAAGCAATCACCGACAGAGCATCCCCCTGGGGGAGCGAATTGGTGATGTAAGATGGCATTTCTGCTACACATCCCCTGTATTGTATTTAATACCGGTATTGGTGTGCCCAAATATGAGAGCAAGCAAGCAGCATGGGCTGGGGCATGCCCAGTTTTTCCAGGCATCTTGTGGCAAGTTCGACTGAAACATGATCAAAGCATTTGGCAAGGTCAAGGCTGACGACTGCTGCTGTGCCAGGCTGCTTAACCAGTCTGAAAAGCAGCAAGGGCGTCTGCAACTGATCAGCCGGAGATGCCTCCATGGGCCTCGCTTGGCGCCCACTCTCATACCCAACGTTGAGTTTCGGCTCGACGCGCCCAGGCTGATGCAAGGACTCGCCACAGGGCACTTTCGAGCACTATGGGCCTGAGCTTGTCAGCTGGGCATTTGTGTGTGCAAGGATTCCTTTGGAAGGTGAACCTGACGTAACTCACACCAGGTAAGTTTGCCCGTTCCATCCAATGCCCGCTGGTCAGACACTCCACCAGGCCTAGGTAGAGGCAAAAGTCCCCAATATGTTTGCGTGCTCGTGTCTGATCGACGGTGGCATTAGGGCTACTGTTCGCGTTTCCCGTTTTTGGCCGCCAAGGCAGCAGCGGCCACCTTGCACGCTGCCTCACATATGACTGGCTTGACAGTCTGGTTTTCACAAGCACCGCCACGCAACCCTTAGCGCGTTCCCACCTCTGAGTAGGGGCGGCTTCGCACACAACGCCGCGCCACGTTATCCAGCGCTGTTGGAAGCTAAGCAAACTTCTTGCAACAAAAACATGTCCGGCGTGGCCTTGAAAAGTCGCATAACCGCATAGGCATGTTCCGCAACCTGTGACGTTGAGGCACACTCAAACTCAAGGGCCGGGTGTGGCGCGAACCCTTTGGAACTCAGATCCTTCTGGCAAGGCATCTTTGAATTTGAGCTACCGGAGCATATTGCTCAAGCCCTGCAGCTCACCCTTGTTGAGTTTCATTGTTCCCACACCCAGCTTTCAGCCGTCCGTCATCACGAAAGTGGATTTGCGCGCAAAGCCCTGTGTGTCCCTGCGCTCTTTCGCAAACTTGGCACGGTTATCCACGCACAGTAGCCCCGGGCGCGCTGCCGGAGCAACAGAACCACAAACGCCTGTCGCCCAATTGCCTCAATGACTCAAGCGACCCGACGCCTTGCTCTTGCGAGCCGGGACGCAACTGGAGACACGGGCGCGGTCTTGGAGGTTCTCTGAGTAGCATCATTGGGCCCGTGGCGAACCTCCAGCGCTGGACGAGCGCCGTCTGCCGGCTTGACAGCGGCCAAGGCTGCCAAAAGGCTGACTGGTCCAAAAAACCAGGACAAGCAGGCAGAGTTGAGGGGCCTCAGCAGAGTAGCAGTTGCGGCAGGGCAGGACTCAAGCGGTGGCTTCACTCCAAGCGCGCTTCTGGAGACCAAAGAAAAGTAGTAGGCTGCGAGCACTTAGTGGTGAGCTTTCAATCAAAATGTATTATTACCAACAGCGTCACACAGTGAACTGATGGGTGTCTTCAGCAAAACGCGCTTGAGCCCAAACAGCTACGGGAGTGAAACATATCGAGCACAGCGTTGGCCTTTCGGGCATGCGCGTGGCTATCGTCTCAGAAAGTATCTTCGCTCCAAAAACGCGGTTTTTGCGCGCTGAATGGTTTTGCCCAAACACGCGCAAGAAAAACGGCCGTTAAACACACTTTGCCAGCCAAAATCATAACTTTCCAGTACAAGCGTAGCACACAAAGTTTAGCAGAAGCGCTTCACTTTCGCAACTCCAGACAAGTATTGGATCATTGCGACGGTTCAACGCAAAATAGTACGAGCGCGGTGTTCGATGAGGACCTGCCCCTAAACGACTTTTACTCTCTCCCCGCCAGCCCTTTCGCCCGGCTGGACCCCACTGCAAACCCCCACTCCGAGCCATGTTGAAGCCAACAAAAAGTCAAAATGTGCGCTCCAGTGTCATGATGGTTTCTGTGGAACATGTTCAAAAGACATCTCTAAAGCGATCAGACAAAGTGATGTGGCACTAAATGAAACTGACCCAGGTTTGGGTACCTTCCTAGAAATGGATGCTAATTCAAAAGCATTTCAAAAGATATTGTCCCTTTAACGCAGTAATTATTACCAACTAAATACTGTGCCAACTAAAGCTAATGATGTCAATGGGTCACTTCCCGAAAACTCATGATGCAGCACGTCGCGGCCAAAGCGTGCCTTCTGTTATTCGATTCTGTTCTGTCTCTCGAAGGTTTGTGGTATCGCTAGACACTGGGTCTAGCTGGGAACCCTACGCTACACAATGAATTCATGCACGCTGCACTCTGACAACTGGATGACGCCTTCTAGTCGACCTCCTCCATCTTGGAAGCCTCGTCGGCCGCGCCCTCAACCTCCTCCAGCCTCAGACACGTGCAATCATTGCAGGTGATTAGCAACATAACAAGGTTTCAGCGATGAGTCAACTCCAAACTCGAAAATTCACAAGTCCTTCTAGAGGCAGCCTGAAGAATGATAAAGGCGACGAGTGGCGGAGGCAAATCGTCATCATCGCCCAGGCCCTCGTCGTCGTCATCGATGCTGAGGCCGAGCTTGATCATGCGATGGATGCGGCCTGCAAACTGTGTAGGCTCATCCAGGTTGAAGCCAGAGGTGAGAAGCGAGGTGTCGAACAACAGCCAGATCAGGTCCTTCACCGTCTTGTCAGACTTGTCGGCCGCTGCCTTCTTCTTCAGCTCAGACATGATGGAGTGCTTTGGGTTCACTTCCATAGTCTTCTTGGAGACCATGTAAGATGTCATGGAGTTGTCGCGAAGGGCTTGCGCCTTCATGATACCTGCGCTAGCAAACGCAAAATCCAAACATAGTCAAATTCAAGCGGCTGCAAGTATCAAAGTATATGTCAACGCGAAACGCAAAAGATGTGAACAAGTGTATTGTCAGTCATCATCACAGGAAGAAAACACAGGACGTGCATCTGCTCACTTGGCAAGGTACGCTCCATGTTAGCAGACCAGCCATACTCGGAGGTGGTCAGCACGCAAGGAGAGTCAGCCATGCGAGAGCTCACCATGACCTTCTCAACCTTGTCGCCCAGCACCTCCTTCATCAGCTTCGTCAGCGGCTCGAACTCCGCCTTCAGCTCCTCCAACTTCTTCTTCTCGTCCTCGCCGTCAATGTCCAGCCCTTCTTTGGTGGTGCTCTTCAGCTTCTTGCCATCGAACTCCTTCAGCTGCTGCACGCAGTACTCATCCACGGGGTCCGTCATGTAGATCACCTCGATGCCCTTCTTGCGCAGGGTCTCCAGGAAGGGCGACGAAGACACCGCCTGGATGCTCTCACCCGTGATGTAGTAGATGTCGTTCTGGCCCTCCTTCATGCGGTCCACGTACTCCTTCAGGCTGATCTGCTCGTCGCCCGACTTGGAGGTGTGGAATCGCAAGAGCTCCGCGACCTTGGTGCGGTTCGTCGAGTCCTCATGCACGCCCAGCTTCAGGCACTTGCCAAACTGCTCGTAGAACTTCTTGTAATCGTCCTCGGGCGATTTCTGCCAAACCGGGCCACTCTGCTTTGCTTACCGCACGGTGCATTGGCCAAGGTTTCAAAGAAGAACGGCAATACACCTAAACATATTGTGCATGCCGTTTGCCGTTGTTTCATGGATATATCGAGCCTGCTAAGTCAATCGCGGCAGTGTCTTGTTGTCAAATGTGTGTTGTCATCATGACTACATTCTTCAACATCAGCATCGCAATATCTGTACTTGATCGTTGTGTCAGATCGCTAAAACCGTCTGCAAGAGTAGGTGTTCCAAATGGTTGTAACCTGATTGCCTCTCTCTGCTTTGATATCATAATGCTGAAAGAATGCATCTCGACGTGTTGAACAGTCTCCTTCTTCTCAGCAATCTCCGCAAACATCTCCAGGCACTTCTTCACAAGATTCTTCTTGATCACTCGCAGGATCTTGTTCTGCTGGAGCGTCTCGCGGGAGATGTTCAGAGGCAAATCCTCGGAATCCACCACACCCTTCACAAAGTTGAGCCACTCCGGCATGAGCTCATCACAGTCGTCCATGATGAACACTCGGCGCACGTACAACTTGATGTTGTTGCGCTTCTTCTTGGTCTCGAAAAGGTCAAAAGGCGCTCGGCGAGGCACAAACAGCAGGGCACGGAACTCCAACTGGCCCTCAACGCTGAAGTGCTTCACTGCAAGGTGGTCCTCCCAGTCGTTGGACAAGGACTTGTAGAAGCTAGCATACTCCTCGTTAGTGACGTCCTCAGACTTGCGCATCCACAAGGGCTTGTTCTTGTTCCTTACCAGGCAAGATGGCAGGTCAATATAAACTTGAAACACAAATGTTAGCTACTTTAGCCCTCAAATTTCACTCATCACATTGAACGCATCCATCCATCCCCCCCCCCCCCCAATGACTGTCACACTTTGGCAGCTCGCCAACCAAGGCTCAGCTGCTCCCACTCGTGGGACACCTCTTTCACCTTCTTCGTCTTCTTTTTCTTCTCCTCCTTCTCCTTCTCTTCATCCACTTCCTCAATCCTTGAAAGCTGCTGTCATGCATGATGCTATCCCTGCTACAGTCACCCTGCCACAAGCCTCAACTACCAACCCCATTCTTTTGAACGAATGACAAAGCGTGCCAAAGACAAACCCAGGAGCTTGGGTTCGTCTCCGGCATCCTCCTTCTTCTCCTCTTCCTCCTCCTCGGAATCAGTGACCTCCTTCTCCTGGCAAGGCGATGCGCAAAGCAGCCCCCTCATAACATGCGCGTGGCACATAACATCCATGACTGCAAGTTCAAACATGTCATGCGTACAAATGTCATGAGAACTAATCATTGATTGTGTAGCACAAGCCCCCAAGACCAATGAATCTTGATGCTTCATGCCGCCTCAAAAGTCAGTGGAAGACCCTCCCTCAATCCCGGCGCAGCTCTTTGACAAGTCAACCTCTCACCAACGTGTCGAACCCACCGGAACCACTGTCCTTGGACTTCTCGACATAGAGCTCGATCGGGAAGCCAATAAACTCAGAGTGCTTCTTCACCAAGTCCTTGAGGCGTCGCTCCTCCAGGAACTCAGACTGGTCCTCCTTGAGGTAGCAAATGATCTTCGTGCCGCGCTTGATCTCGCCGTGCACGAGCTCTGTGTCCTTCTGCACGGTGAAGGATCCACCCGCACCAGACTCCCAGATGTACCTCTGGCGAGAAAAGAGTTGTTAAACTTTGAAGTGCCGGCACAAGGATTTGTAAGCGTAAAACAAAAAGCAAAAAAAAAAAACGATCTATTTGGTAATGCAATTACAAGGACTTAAGTTTGCTGGGCAACAGCAAGAGCGGCCACTACTTCAAAACTATTCGGTGCGAATCACACAGCCCAACCCATGCTATGAGCCAAGGTGCTGCTCGTCGTCATTGTGCTTGCTGATCACGCGCACCTTGTCGGAAACAAGGTAGGCACTGTAGAAGCCGACGCCGAACCTTGGTTTCGAAAGGGCACGCGCAGGAAAACTTGATCATACCCTCGACACCCAATACCCACTTTGTTCAGGGTATCATGTCGTCCCTCTACTAAAAAAGAGGGAATTTACCTTGTAAAACCAGGTTTTCCAAAAAATACCCTGGAAAAATCGGGTATTTGGTGTAGGGGGTAGTGCGAATACCATGGGCCACGATTTCGCCTGCATTTAGACACGGTGAAGCGGACTTTTCTCATAGTTCAACTTTTCATAGTTCAATAGGACACGCAGCCTCTTCCTCCCAACATGCCGTGAAGTTGTGACCTTCGCCTGAACTGAACGCCCAAGCCAAACAACAAAAAACAACAGTGTTCCAGGATATCTTGTGTGCAAAGCTTAACACAATTCGCAGCGAAAGACATGGTGTCTGTTTTTGCCGCCGTTCAGCCAAACTAAAATACAACATGGCGCAATCACATCTGCCGGTTTCGGCAAGGAACTGTCCGATCATGGAGATATCGCCGCCCGCGGCCATTGCTTCCATAAAGGCCTTTGTGCCGCTCTTGGCGATGGTGCCCAGATTGTTGATGAGCTCGTTCCTGGTAGAAATCATTACACTACCGTTGCCCATGCATAGTAAATGAAAACAATGATCCTGATGTCACAACGATCGTTCTTGGGTACAATGTCTGGTCTGCCTTTCGCCACGCATGCAAGGCGTCCCACCAAAGGCCAGTTGGTTATCAAACGTACATGGCAAGTATCGATGGCAATCATACAAATGAGATTGGCAAAGCGCGTAATCATGCAGCAGACAAGGCATCCGTCAGTAGTAACTGTTATACTGCCATGCACCACGTATAGTTATTAAATGAAAACATATGAAAACCATGCACGTGTTATCATGTACTACTCAAGAGACAAGGCAGCCGAGCGTCTTGGTCATGCCGATGCCTGAGTCTTCGATCGTCAGGGTTGAGTTGGTCTTGTCCGGGATGATCTTGATGAAGAAATTCGGCTGGGCCTCACATGGAGGGGTGGTGAAAATAAGGGGACCTTTTGTTTGCGCCTCCTTTCGCGGGAAAAACAGGATGTAATAAACTTAGTTGTGCAACATTGTGCACGTATCCTTATTTTCCAACCTCTTCCCGTTCCCATCGCACGCCTTTCGCGATGCAGGTGTTTCCTTTCGGGGTAGACCGTTCAAGAACATGCCTCACCTAGTTTAGACATGCAATCTGGAATGGCCCCACATGAGCAGAACTCATCACTACCACGCAACTCGACGGATACACATGTTGATTCACAATCCAACTTGCAACCCGCCTCTCTGTGCATGCACATGGCCTTTGCACGCTTACCGTCATGCCTTGCTTCACAGGCTACAAACTCTTTGCACCTACCCTCTGCACCTCAATCTTCTCAGGGTCGGTGATGCTCTCATACCTCAGTGGCGATTCCTATTTGATTGCGAACAGGGCTCAAGTGCAACGATTCCATAACAAATTGGGCGCCAGCATGAATCTAGGGCTTGACTCCCCATTCTTTTCAACCATCGTTCTTTTCAATAGCCAGCTGTTTCCCCACGGTTTTGGGGGGTTTCTGGAAAGAAGGATGCCTGAAAAGTATGGGCAAGGTACCCCTAGAATGAATGATCCGTGCCATGGCCAGTTACAGAATCTGGCCGACTGGCAAGGCATCAAGTCCCAGAAAAATTGAGCAATTGCACCGACAAAGGCGCCGGATCTTGTCCAAGGCGTCGGAAGCATTGGAGATTAGCTCGCGCAGGAAGATCTCCTTGTTGCTATAGAAGGTGTTGATGATCAAGGACATCAACTGCTGGATGTCAGCATTGAAGGCAAAAGTTTCAGCCATGGCTGGCGAAAGGAAACTTCGTCCAAGCAAAACTCGCTATGCCTGCTCTTGGGCAGTCGGAGCGAAGATAGGCGTAGGTTCTAACGCCACGGAAGCGAGACATGGACAAAACAGCTGCAACGGCGCTGGTCTTTCCCGCGCAACATGAGATCTTTATTTATACACCCTCAATGTGCAAGGCCTGGAGGTCGCCAACAAGGTTTGCGCTCGCGTGTCAGTCACTTCAGCGCCCAGAAAAGCCGCCGCTTCCGCACCTGCAACACATCCAGTCGCTTCCGCGCCCAGAGCAGGAACATCAGCCGCGCCCCCGCCCGCCACGAAACGCGCGAACCGCGCGCCCACTCTGCCGCCGGGCGCAACAGGCGCCCCGGTGCTCAAAAGACCCAGCCGCCTTTTTCAGTTGGTTGTGGGAACACCGATCGGTTTTCCGGGGCTCATACCTCCTTTTCTTAGAAGGAGGTCGACATGATACCAACTGAAAAGAGCGGGTTGGAGTAGGGGGGCATGGTAAGCACACGCTCGCTCGGGTGAGAAAGGGCACCTAGCTGGGGGACCTAGAAAACTCTGGCAGCCCTCGTGGTTTTTTTCCTTTGGGTTTTTTGAAGACTACGTGGGGGGATCTCGAATTCCACGGAAAGCGCGCCACAAGGAAAACAAATATACACGTGTGTGTGTGGGTCAAACATGGGTAAGAGAAGAGCGAGGGAGGGCGGGGTGGGGCACGGTAAGGACACACTTGCTCAATGCACGCCCGAGCACGCGTTTGCTCCGCAGAGGGTTGCCGCGGTCAGACAACACTCGCACGGCGCCGCAGCGAGAGCGCTTCTACATGCATCTCCGCAGAGGGTGTGCAGCGGCCAAGGCACATTCGCGCGGCGCAGCGCGCGATCTCCGCAGACACTTCGCCGCGGTCAAGACAGATTCGCACGGCGCCGCTTCGACACGCACGATCTCTGCAGAGGGTTCCCACGGCGCAGCGAGAGCACTTCGACACGCATGATGTCCAACACAAGGACAAGAGACCGGGTGCAAAAGCGACAGAAAACTCGGGTTCAAATGCAACCGAATACTCGGGTGCAAAAGATGCCCGCGTGCTCAACCACACCTAGCCAGTACCTTTCGGAGCCAAACAAGTGTCCAAATGTGGGGTCCAGTGTCATGATGGCCTCGTTGTGTGCCCCCTACTCCAAATACCCTCTTTTTCAGGGTATCATGTTGACCCTCTACTAAAAAGGGAGGTATTTACCATGCGAAACCGATCGGTTTCCCACAAATACCAACTGAAAAAAGCATTGGTACTTGGAGTAGGGGGTAACATCTTCAAACGACAGCTCCAAAGTGATCAGCCAAGGGTACCTGACAAAGTGATGTGGCGCGAAGTGAAACTGACCCAGGTTTGGGTCACTTCTTGTGCTAATTCCAAAGCAAATCGAAAGTAGCATTGGTCCCTTAAAGCAGTATTGCCACACAATACTGCGCCAAATAAAGCTGATTCATGGTGTCTGGGCCACTTCCCGAAAATAGATCCTAGTACAAAAGCAACTCCAAAGTAGTATTGCACAGTTTACCCCCTACTCCAAATAGCCGCTTTTTTTCAGTGTATTCTTGGGAAAACTGATCGGTTTTCCACGGTAAATACCTCCCCTTTTTAGTAGAGGGTCGACATCATACCCTGAAAAAAGCGGATATTCAGAGTGGGGGGTAGTTGTAGAATAGTCAGATTTATCGCAATATACAACCAATGTAAAAGTAGAGTTCCCGGAGTTGCAGCCCTCCAATGAATCGAAGTGTCTCTTGGCTGGGCATGGCAGGAGCCCTTTGCGAATCAAAGGCGGACATGGCAATTCGTACTACAGGGCTCCCTATATTTCCCCTTAAAACATCACCCCCACCAAGGGACACTCACCTTCCATGGGCCAAAGAGGTGATGTTTAAAACCGCCAAAAAGGGAAGTTTTGGGACCCCTGTACTACGAGGACCTTGACCTTGCAACTATGGCGACTTACGTTTGCCGTTTGCATCAGCTTGGCTTCGAGAAGCTCTAGCACAATGCCCTTCACCTCTTGCATGTTCGACGCTTCCGAGTGGAAGAAATTTCTCCCAGACGATTCATATGGCTCATCCGTCCAGGTACCTGTGGGGGCCTGCCAAAGTCAAGGCTGGGGGGTATGTACCACTCCCAAACCATATGAAAGCCTGAAACTGAAACCCAGGTTTGGGTCACTTCCTGGAAATGGATGCTGATTCAAAAGCATGCCAAAAGAAAATGCAGCGCTCACAGACTCACACCAACAATACGAAACCTGAAACTGATGCTGCAGCATGTCGCAGCCAAAGCGTGCCTTCTGTTATTCGATTCTGTCCTCTCTCTCCGAAGGTTTGTGGTATTGCTCTAGCTGGGAACCCTACGCTACGGGACGAATTCGAAATATTGCACGCTGACTCTGGCAACTGGATGATGCCTTCTAGTCGACCTCCTCTATCTTGGAGGCCTCGTCAGCCACGCCCTCAACCTCCTCCAGCCTCAGACACGTGCAATCATTGCAGGTGATTAGCAACATGATAAGGTCTCAGCGAGAAGTCAACCCCAAACCCGGAAGACATTCACAAAACCTTCTAGAGGCAGCCTGAAGAACGGAATAAAGGCGCCGAGTGCGGAGGCAAGTCGTCATCATCGCCCAGGCCCTCATAGCCAGATCAGGTCTTTCACTGTCTTGTTGGACTTGTCGGGCGCGGCCTCCTGCTTCAGCTCAGACATGATGGAGTGCTTTGGGTTCACTTCCATTGTCTTCTTGGAGAGCAAGTAAGATGTCATGGAGTTGTCGCGAAGGGCTTGCGCCTTCATGATACCTGCGCATACGCCAAATCCAAACATATCTAAATTGTCTTCTGCTTGACAGAAAACACCTCTCCTAAACAAAAAAGGAGTAGGGGGTATGATAAGCACGGTGGGCAACTACCAAACATCTCTGCTACGGATGGACAAATTCCTGCAGCACTCCTGCCGGGACAAAACCCTATGAACCGATGGAGCAAAACAAGGAACGATCCTCCAAAGGGACCGTTAAACCGAAAGGCATTCGAGTTGAACTTGTCCACCACTTTGGATCCCGAGGTGACCTGGTACCTTCGAACAAACTCTTCAGGGAGTTCCAATAGGTCCTCCAGATTTGAGAGGTTGGAATAAGGGTGCCAACTCTTTCTGTGGTCTGTTTTAGTAGGGAAACCCTGGGTGAAAGGGCACTACTGGGGGACCTAGAATACTGTGCAAAAGCCCGATTCGGTCTCTGATTCGGTTCCCCAACGTAAATACCCAGAAACGGTATTCTAGGGGACACTTCCCCGTTCTTTCCAGGGATCCTTCTTTCCAGAAAACCATCAGACCCCCAGGGGAAACAGCTGGCTTTCGAAAAGAGCGATGGTTGAAAATAATGGAACAGGAATCAACCCCTCGAGTTTCTCGGGGTTCGCTCTTGGTGCTATAAGTGGAGACAATCAATCGGGAATGAATCCCTAGAGTGGTTTCATTCCCATGGTTTGTTCAGATCCACGGGAGGTGTTCCTGGTGTTACAAGCGGATTCCAGCGGGTTCATCCGGGGTGCAGAAACTGGCCTGACAACCCCCCCCCTGAAACCCCCGCAACCCTGAGTCGCCCCTTGCAAAGGTATGTGAGTCATAATCACCTGTCACCCTGATGTACCCAAAACATCCCCAACCCACGTAACGAACCAAACCCCCTGTCTGGGAGACTATAGTTTATAGGGCTTACAAAAAGGCCCCCAAAAAAACTTGGCAAAACGGCCGTTGCGACTTTTGGTGACAGAGTAGCGCTTGGGTTGGGAAACCACGAAGGTTTCAATCGGCCATCCGCGAATGTCAATTTGCAAGCGGCAATGCCCTCCACCGACCGATGACCGCAACTGGATTTGTGCAGGTCATTGCAAGGGTGGTTCCAAGGCACGGTTCTTCGGTTTATGCCAGTACTGTTGGTGACGGTGAGAAGTGATAAGCATCGAACCCGCAATCAAAGGATTCAAAGGCCTTGCTATGACCATCGTGGGATCCCAAAATGGGAGGATGCGAGAATCCGAAAAAAATCCTTGAAGCCTTGAGTCAACTTGATCCTTCGCCGACTCCTTTGTCAAAGCAGCCAAGGAGGTTATGCGTTAACAAAAAACGGAAAAGCACCATGTCCTTGAGCTTGGCTTGGTGTGCCATGTCGCGGGAAACTCTCCTCTTGTAACGAGACTCCCAAGGAAGCCCAGTAAACGGTTTGAGAAACCCTGAGGGAAGAGAAGGCGCTCGAGCACCCCGAAGCTTGCTCTTCGAAGCGCAACGAGAACCTGAGTACCAATGAACTATATCTTACAAATACGGTCTGTGTGTGTGTGTGTGTGTGTCTTCAAATGGGTATAGATCAAATTGTTCAGCGCCCATATGCACTGCAGGTTTTACTCCGTGTTCAGCAGGCAAGCCATCTTGGGCAAGCCAAAGAATTGACCCGCACCATCAAGGAATCCCCAAAAACATCGCTGGAAAGGGATCCCCCCTTCCCTGCGAAAGGTAATTCAGTGCGCTCATTGACAACCCGGCTCGCTTTGCAGTCCACGGGCTTTTGCCTCCCCCGAAAAGTCATATTGGCGGGGTGAGCGGGACCACCAAAATGACTCACGTTTCTGGTTGGTGTCCCAACAAGAAACCAACCCAAAACCGTGTGCTCGCAAAAAGTTTCAGGCCCGAATTTTCATGTTCTTCAGACGCTGATCCATAGCGAAGTTCGAAACATAAATTTGTCATCCAGAGAGTTCGAAGGGCCAGGGAATGCCATTCCCCGACCTCCAGTGGATCGCCAGTAGTGGTTGAAAAAGGTGACACATGGTGACACTTCTTGGTAGCTTGCTGTTGAAGTGCTTTCCCGCCGAGAAGAAAAAGAGTGGCAAGCACATACAGGGATCCTTACATACACCTGATCAGTGCCTTGTAAATGGTGGTTTCCATT